AATAAAATGAAATATTAAAATCATGATGTATCTCGCTGCATTGCGCGAGTACGCTTCTAGTACTTCAAAATGGACATCTTTGGCATGCACATAGTTTTCACAAAGTAACTTGAAATCAATTTGCTAGATTTATGTTAACTGTAGGTTTTACCCAATCTTGAGCTTCCTTTGACGAAGGCTTTAGATCCACAACTTCCATCACTAGAACACTTTATCTAAGTCATAAACAAACCCAAATATACCAAGAGTACCCAAAATCAGAACCCTATTAAGATCTCAAGATACCCAAAATCTTACCTCATCAACATGAAGTAATTCACACCAAAACATCTTGAAACTCTTAGGCTAGATTTCTATAAATTCCCTCCAAGCTTTACTAAAATCGGCCAATGAAGAGTGGGAAAGAGATGGGAGGAAAACCAATGAGAAAGGAGGGGGAGGGGGAGGGGGGGAATAAAGGAGAATGGAGAGAGTTGGTCGTCAGTCTTAGTAGCTCACGGCCTAAATCACGTGACTAAACCCGCATCAGACTCGCATTTGCTACTGCCCTTTCCTTCTAATGCCCGACCACTCCAGTGACCAGCGCAACTATCATGCGGCTAAACCTGCAACCAACTCGCCCTTACTTCTATTCTCACTACACCAAAAATGATTTTTCTTAAGCAAGCCCCTTTACATACACAAGATAACTGAAAGTGGAACTAAACCAGTGGTCTGAAGCTAATACTAGGATTCCAGCTAATCACTTGGGGCATTAATGTTGAAATATCTAAACTAGAGAATGTGTTGGAGTTGAACGTAAATTTTTTCTTGGGAATGAAATATGCCCTATTGGGAACCCGATGTATCCATTCCTAGTGGGATCGAGGATCCCTCGTAAAACCGGGAATAAGGTGGGGCCAGGCCGGTGCTGGGTAGCGTGATTCCCGACCCACACCATCCCAGTATATTAAATATACTATATATTTATCATTTAATATTTTATATTTATTACTACATATATTGTATATTTATTATTAAATATATAATTCATAAAGAATTAGATTGAGTATCTTTTAGACTTAGAAAAAGTAATTTGACTTATCTTACTTTTTTTAGATAAAGAACATGGAGAGCCAAGAGCGTTTGATTAAACAGTTATGTATGATATTGTGATTTTGTTCACATACAAGTTTTGATGCTCCATAACAAGAATTTGGAAACATGAAATATAGATCATTATCGATCGAGTGTGGTCCTTAACACATTTGATTTAAACTATCTCACCTAAATGGGAAAAAGAAATCTCCAATTCCCTGTTGGAATGGAGATGAGCATATGATCATATTTCCCGACTGGGACGAGGACGAGGATGGAGTTTCGGATTGGGGGACGGGATTGGAATTGAGGTCCCCACCCCATTTCCATGCCTAGGAAAAGTCCAAAAAAACTCAACAAACTTTTTTTTTGAACGAGTTAAGTCTCTAAACTATTTTTTTTAATGAATAAACTATTGAACTTTCTAATTTTAAATGGTTGAAACCTTGAACATTTGTTAATAAATAAACCAATGATCTTTTAGAAATTAGTTACCTGCGTATTTTTTTTCAACCAAAAAAAACTACTTGTAACCAGCCAAGAAGAGTTAAGTAAAAAAAATCGAATCAGGTCTATTATTTCCAAATCTTATGACATTCAAACCCTCGACGTAGGGCATCGCCACCTCTTGCCGCCCCATTGTCGTTCGTTATCCATACCGTTTATCGTCATCGTTGGCCTATACCATCAATCCTCCTATTTTTTGTTTGTTTTGTCTTTAGATTCTCCCTCTTTCATAATAATTTCATGGAAAATGCACAGATAGATCAAAAAAGATGGAGAATTGATGGCGTTAAGTGTGAGTGGTTTGAATGACGTACGGCTTGAGAATGGTAAACTAATTTATGTTTCTTTTTTTCCAACTTTAAAACATTTCTAGCCAGTTACAATTAGTTTTGTGGATTAAGAGAGTGTAAGGTGACATTTGTTTTTTAAGAGGTGCTGAAGTCTGAAGTCTTATTTCACTTCTGATGTATAAGAAGTGGTGCTAAAGTCTAAAATTTTAATCAATAAGACTGTTTTTTTAAACTGATAAACGTCTGAATTTATTTAAATTGTCTATTTTACCGATAAAAAAAAATTATATTATTGAATTTATAGATAACATTTATACCATTTCACATATTTATTCATCATCATTACAAAGTTTACATCTAAATTATATAATTAGCATTCATTTAAACGAAAGTATGTCATTAACGGTATTTAACACATTTAAATATTATTAAATACATCAATTGAGAGAGGTGAGTATTGATTTGGTAAGGATCAACTGACATAAATGATCGATTAAGGTTATAAATCGATTGAAAAAACGCCGTTATTGAGGGTTTGAAGGACAATAAGAGGCAAATAAGAGGTTGGTTTACATCTTACCAGAAAAGAGAACAATAAGAAATAAGTGTCTCTGAAAAATTGGAAAAAACAAACAGTCTGAATAGACATGGAAATGGGGCGGGGACCTCAATCCCCGTCCCCGACCCCGATTACTTATCTCTATCCCCGTCACCGTCCCCGTCGGGGAATATAATCACATCCCCATCCTCAATGGGGAAACGATGATTTTTTTCTGTTTATATAAGTTATTTTAAATTAAATATGTGAGAGACAATAAACGTTTAAATCTCAAACATTTTCAATAAATCTAAAACCAAAATGAATTTAATTTAATACAAAAAAACCACAACATCATAAAAGAACTAAGGGGCTGTTTGTTTGGCTCTTAATGGTTACATTAAGAGCCAACCTCTTAATCGGTAAGAGGTAAAGAGTGTTTGGCAAAAAAAATCAAACCTCTTAATGGTTACAAAACCCTCTTAACCATTTTGCATCCTAGGGCTCACTCAACCATTCAGATCATTCTTTTTCCCATTTTGTCCTCTCCTTCCTCACAAGTCGCTCACAGCTCCTCCCCCCACCCCCTCGTCGCCGGTCGCTCACAGCTCGCCACCCCCACCCTACGCTCGTCGCCGCCGCAAGTCGCCGCCTCTCGTCACCGCTGCACGTCGCCGCTCCACGTCGCCGCTCGTCTCTAGTCGCCTCCTCCTCTTCCCACGCATCGTTCTTCCTCCCAAACGATCTCGCCAATCTCTCCATCTCACAGACCTGCCTCCTTTTTCATTCCCTCTCTCCGACAATGGCATCGGCGACTAGGCCCGCCTCTGCTACGGCGACAATCCTTCATCTCCTTCTCTCACTCCGTATAATCCCATCAATCAAATCGGTAGCGTCTCATCCAGGAAAAACATAACCCAAATCCAAAAGTGAGTGAAACCCTAAATCAAATAATAGAACCCAAAAATAAAATCGAGGGTTTTACCAAAATTGCTCTTGTTGGTCACTGGTGGTGCTCATCATCGAAATAGAGAGAGAGAGAGAGAGAGAGAGAGAGGCCAAGAACTGATCCTAGTGATAACTATTGAGTAGCTAAACTTGGGGAAAATTCTGAAATTTGTTAAGGGTTAAAATGGTAATTTGTTGTCATTCAGAAAACAATTACCAAACAACCTTGTTTCATTCTGCACTTAACCATTCTGACCCTCTTAACCATTCTGACCTCTTAACTATTCTGTACTAAATCATTCAGCAACTGCCAAACAGCCCCTAATAACCTAAAACAAAAAAAATTAATTTAATAAAAAAAACTTAAATTCACGTGTATCAAAAGATATTGAGTGATATAAAACCATATCGAGTAATTGTATTTTGACTTGACATCTAAAAACTTACATATTAACATCCAAAAAATTACACATTTTAGATTATAAACCTAATTAGGAAATAGGAAATTATAAATTAACGCTATAGTTAAAATAAATAATATATATGTATAGATTTATATAAAATTTATTAATTAATATATATAACGGGTACAGGAGGAGACGGGGAGTACCATACCTGTCCCCATCCCCGGTTTGAGACAAACGGGGATCCCCGTTCCCGTCCCCATCACTGTTTTAGCAGGGAATCCCAGTCCCGACCGGGGTGGGTGGACCGGATTCTCCAACGGGTCGGGGATCATTCCCATGCTTAAGTCTGAATACTCTTATCTCTTAACAAATCAGATATAAAAGGTTGATAAGAGTTTTTTTATAAAATACAAACAAAGCCTAATTAACTAATTTCAAAAAATTCATTACTTTATTTATTAAAACAATTAATCATCTGAAATAACATGATTTGTGGTTTTTTTTTATTTGTTTTTGAGATTGTTTTTTTCCCGTGTAGCCATAAACAAACAGGTACATAGATTTTCTCCCATCAACGTCGCCAACTGACGGTCAACGGAGATGAATGTGTCATTAACTCCATTCAACACCAATTCCTTCCATATTTGATCTAATATCTGATTCATCTTCATCTTACACATCATCATCACATTAATTTGGTTCAATCATGCATAATCCCCAAATTGTCATCGGAGTTATTCAAATTCTACAACAGAAAAAAAAAGTAGCAGAAGAAGATGCAGGCTACACTGCAAATTACAACGGCATCGGAACTTACTGTTCTACGGTCCGGCGTCGCCATTGGATGAATTGTTCGACATCATCTTCTTAAACTCCTCAAAGTTCACAAAACCATCACCGTCTGAATCTACCGATTTGATCATCGTCACACAATCATCAACCGTACATCTTTCCCCCAACCGAGTCAAGATCTGATGCAACTCAGTCGAGGAGATCAACCCGTTCTTGTTCAAATCGTAGAGTTGAAACGCTTCTTCAAGCTCCTTGATCCCTCCGTCTTGTTCATCGGCGTTTCCTTTGCAGAATCCGGCGAACTCCTCCAAGTTAATAAAGCCATCACAGTCTGTGTCTATGGTAGTCATCACTTTCTCCACCTCCTCGGCAGAGATGTTGGATCCAAGTGCCTTCATGACGTGGACGAGCTCCTCAACAGAGATCTTGCCGTCGCCATTGGTGTCGAAACGGCTGAAGACTTTCTTGACTTCGTCGATGTTGGTCAAATGCACCGATGGCTTGATGGTTTCCGTCGCCATTTCTGATATTCCGTTGATGGAGAAAGAGGGGGAGAAGAAAGCAATATAGGCGCGTAAGCCGCGTAAGCCGCGTCGCGTAGGGCTGCCGTGATGGAGAATATTGTTAGGCACGAGTAAATTTCTTTTTCTTTTTATAATAATCCATGTCGTCCCAAAACTATACACGCATTTGAGATTATTTATAAAAATAATTTATTGACTTATTTTTATGTGATAACGATAATAAGTATTTTTGAGTGTTTGCATAAACAACTTATACCGGTATCAAATCGGTAATAAAGAGTTTTTGAAGAAATTAAACTCTTCTGACTTATAATAAGTTGATAAGTATTTTTATAGAAAAACATAAGTTGTTTCAAATAAACAATGCCAAACACCCCTAAAATAGATGTCCATAGTTACTTGTAAATTTGTAATTGTAGAACCTACAACCTATAATGTATAGTAAAGTATTGTTACTAACAAATACTCAAAATACTAACAATTTGTTAGTATTTTGAGTATTTGTTTAAACTGGTAAATTTTTTATGTAAATAAATATAAAGTTTTTTGGTAATTTGTTGCAGTAATGGACCAGAATGTACGTATAAAATGACAATGGCTTATATTAAGATATTTACCAATTTACAAAAAACAATCTTACTGATTATGTTTTCTGACTTCAGAACTATCTCTTATCAATAAGAAATGAAATAAGATTTCAGACTTTAATACCTCTTAAAAAACAAACATCACCTAAGTCATCTCATTTTGCAACATTTGTTTTTGACCATTTGCTTCACGGTGACGATTTAGAAGGCCATAACCTAACTTACATCATCGATCGATTTGACATAGACTTTCAATTTCATCAGTTACAGGGCTTCTAACGGCAACAACAAAGTGATATGGTTTTACCTACAACTTGGGTTTTGATTTGTTAATTTTCATGGTTGGTTTTTTCGTTCGGTTCCGTTAATCGTGTTTATGTTTAGGCTTCAACTCTTATTTAGTATTCAATTAGTTAGTTCCTGTTTGTGGGTATTTTTTTCATGTCGGTCGATTTCACATCAACTGATTTTTTATTATAATGTGGTTTCTCATTGTTAGAACAAGAGTCCAATAATATCCATTTTGATATAAAACAATTACATCAAATATAAACGACATAGGCTCACAAGACTATATCCCGCAAGTTAACTAGCCACAATAGTTGATTTATTAAAAATATACACTTCAACTTGATCACAATCAATATCGGCAATGAAACCATACGAAACATATTTATGGGTTATGGTCAATTTTCTAAATAGCGTGAGTCGTGGTGTGGTGGCGAGGTCGAGCCTTAAGTCTTGGAAGCCATGGTGAGGTCAAGACGTTTTTCAAGGCGTGACTTATAGTGACAAAGTGGTTTATTTCCCCTTGTGTTATCTCCATCGAATCTTTGCTAAACTGATTTCTTTATTTCTCAACCTTTTAACCTTGTGACCGATAATGACTTCTGGTTCTTCTATAAACTTCATTTTCTCATTCACTTGCACTTTTTGCAAACGTATCGCCTTTTAGGAAGCGACTAGACACTTTCTCAAGTTGGACACGTGAAAGGTACTGCGAATGCCACTCAACTCCTCTGGAAGTTCTAACGTGCGGGCTACTTCACCAATCTGATTACTGATCACAAAAGGTTCGATATAATGCGAACTCTACTTTTTTTTAATACCAAAAACGAACGATTCCTTTTCATGGAAAGATTTTTAACATTACACTATCCCAACTTGAAACTCTATAGGTTTACGAATGTTTGTCTGCATAATTCTATTATCGGTTGTGCCGTATTTAATCTTTCACATATTTGTCCAATCCTGCTAACTGTTTCTCTCCCACTTCATTCCAACATAACGAGGTTTTACATTTTTTGTCCTTAATTAAATTATATTACTTTGGATCCTTTAATATTTTAGATACTTAAATCCAAATATTAATTCTGAAAAGTTTATATCGGGATAACAAATTTGGATGTTAAATCCGAATGAGAATAGCGAATGATGAATCCGGTTAATAGATCCGAATGATAGGAACCAGATGAGGTACAATTCAGATATAAGAGGTAGTCTGAATTATTTGTTTCTTGACAAAAGACTACAAAAATATTTCTTAGTGTTGGATTGGTTGTATTTGTGTTATTATCAAATAAAATCGTTAAGACCAGCAATATGACCCTCTTTAAATCTCTGTTGTGTAAAATGAATAACCAAGTATATGTTAAATCGTCACTTCATCATTGCATCCATAACATAACTTTATATGTGAGTTATCCCGTCTAATAGGCCTCCACAAGTTTGGACAATGTGTTACGCTTCATTGCTTCATCTCTCCATTCACAAAACCATGTTTGAAGCGTGAACCAAATGAACTTATAAAAGTAGTAACCGAGAAGGTTTTGACCTCCCTGGTTTTCTTGTTCAAGCTTTCAGCGTAATTGCTTGTCATAATATTTTACTTATTCCCAACAATCTAAGTACGGTGACCGCTTATCAAAAATGCATACCTTCAAGATACTCAACTATTGCAGGATCCATAACTTTTATGGCGTCAAAGTGCTTTAGAAAGCTATACTGCAAAAGACGTATGCCTTCAACCACCTAAGTGTTGATAACATCTGTCCATCTTGAACATAGACTTTACGTTCATATTAATAGTTCATCTCGAGAGTATGAGCAATGCTATTATGCATATATGAAACAAAAGACAAGTTATCGACGTCCTTGATTGCTTCCTTCAGATATTTTATTTCTCTTGATTTTTCCATATATGAAACATGAAGGTAGGGTGTGACAATACTAGACACTCGTTATATCAAATAGCGAAATAAATTTATCCTATTTATAAATTCATCTGAGTTTTTGACGAACTAATTCATGAATTTCCATAAATAACAACTCATTTTGTCTGCATCCTTTAGATATTTTATTTCTCTTGATTTTTCCATTAGCAATTTAACGTTATCACAAAAGAAACATAAAACTCCAAAAAAAGTGGATCTGTTGAGGAAGTCTTTGTTGTTTGCTTTATGAGGGTTAACTTTGGACGCTAAGAAAAAGATCCCATCTTCTTGGACCAAAAACCAAGCAAACTAAACCACTTTTAACCGTATTATACCAAGCGTCAAGCATGTGTTTACAAATTATTCACATCTACAAAGTAGCATTAAATTCAAAAACACAATATATATATATATATATATATATATATATATGACATTTGTGCAACCAATACAACTCAATCTCAACCGTTCATTTCATTTGATTAATATATGATTTTATAGAAGTTTTGATTATTTCTTAATATAAAGTATTGATCATAATTAATGAATCATATTCATCTTCCATAAATATTCAAATCATAATAAATGAACTCTCATCATTTTCATAAATATCTCAATTTATTGGTTTGCATTGGTAGAGAGAGAGAGAGAGTTTGTTTCAAATACAATCTGTCGCATTTGTACAACCAATGCAAACCAACCTCATTTGCATTGGTTGAGATTGGGTTGTATTGGTTTGCACAAATGTCAAGGGTTGTATAATAACCAACATCTCTTTCTCTCTCTCTCTCTCTCTCTCTCTCTCTATATATATATATATATATATATATAAATAGGGTCTAATCAAATGAGAACTGAATAGTTTGTGGTAACTGTGAGGTGCAATCTCAACCATAAATCAACGGATAAATTAGGAAATTGATAATTATGGTAGTTTGAGTTAAACTTATAATTAGAGGACATATTAGGTATTTTTTTTTAAAACTCCTCTTTCCTCTCTCCGACCTCCAATCTCCGGCCTCCGGTGAAATCGGTATCACAGTATATCACAATGGGTATCACAATGTGTATTATAATGGGTATCACATTGTGTATATTTGTTTTTAAGGTTTGAATTGGTATCATAGTTGGTATCACAATGGTATCACAGTATATCACAATGGGTATCACATTGTGTATCTTTGGTACCTGCCGAATTAATGTTCACCGGAGGCCGGAGATTGGAAGTCGGAGAGAGGAGAGAGGAATTTTGTAAAAATACCTAAAATGCGCTATAATTATAATTTTAACTCAAACTACCATAATTATTAATTTTCTAATTTATTCGTTGATTTATGGTTGAGATTGGATCTCACAGTTACCACAAACTAATCAGTTCTCCCTTGAATGGACCTATATATATATATATATATATATATATATATATATTAAAGTAGGGCAAAATGAACAAAATAACAATCTATTTTCATAAATTTCTTTATTATAGCATTGTACTTCCAATTTTTCTTATTACAACAATGTATTTTTAAACTATTTTTTATTAGGACATTATACTTTGAAAAATTTACCCATTATAACTTTGGGTAACCTTTAGATTTAAATTTGTCCATCATATCAAGTTTTCATGTCACCTCATTGCTCATGTAAGCTGTTCACATGTACTATAGTGATGTGACTTTCTTACTACATCATAGTACTTTAAAAAAAAATTATTATAGCATCTATTGGTTCTTATTAAACACTGTATTTTTAATTTTAATATTTAGATATTTTACATGTTATTTAATAAATATATTAAATGAATTAAAAAAATTCTAAATTATTCATTAATATACCAATATCAATAAAACTAGTAGAACACAACTTATCTCACTAATTTTTTTTTAAAAATATATGTTTTTTGAAAAAAAAAATAAGAATTGTTCTTTTTTTACTAAAAAAAATATTATCTTTTAAATAATATATTATATTTGTTCAAAAACTTTTACTCGACGTATAAATATATTAAATTAATTAGAAATTTTTGAAATATTTATTAATATGACAATATTAAAAAATTATAGATCACAATTTATTTCGTTAACATTTTAAAGAGAACTTTAAAATATATGTATTTACTTGAACAACATAAAATAATAAGTGTTACTTTCTTACAAACAAAATATATCTCGAAAATAATGTTTCATATTTATTTAAGAAATTTTTTACTCTAGAATATTTGATTTGCAT